ACGTGTTTTGATGGGACAGGAAATGACGAGGTTTCAGTCTGTAACCTCACTGGCCTCTGACGAGGCTCTGCGTCAGCACCGGCAGCGATGATCTCAGTGGCAGGTGCTTATATTGCTGGTTCCTGGTGCTCAGGAAAAGCCTTGTTTTAAGATTTGGGTATTATGTGACTTACATCCCCTTAATGGACTAGAGATCCATGGAATACAATGGCTTTCAGTAAAATCTATAGTTAAGCTAAAAGAGCATTTAAACTCACGTCTGAGCCTCACTGAAAGTTACTCTGAGATAGAGCACACCATCTTTGAGGGGTTTCGGGAGAATCTGGAATAACTATGCACACACACAACCGCACCTCCCAGCTCTCCCTCTGATACCACTTCCTTAGGCTGGGACTCGTGTGAAACACTGGCTCACTCAACTCAAACCCAGTTACACTTCTGAATTTGTGACCCGTCCTAATATACATTTCTGCTTTGATTTCTTAACCTGTGCCAGGCACGGGTATTGGCGGAGGATGATTTCCATGCTTCCTCAAAGGCCAAAGGAGCTTGCAGCTCCTGTACGATCTAGTATGGTGATATAAACTGTGAGCTGAGGTTAATGCCTTTCCCCTATATCTCAGTGGGCAGTGTGGGCTGCTGGTATTTTAATCCAAATCCTCTACCAGAGAGCCAGGCTGACCTGTCTTCGCAGAATGAAGACAGACACCAATCAGCAGCAACAAGGAGGAGCACAAGAGCCAGCGAGGAGCCCAGTGTGGTGAGAAGAGCGGGAGCGTGCATCACCGGGCCTGGCATACCTGCCATCCCTGCTTTAATGATCTAACCCTCACCTCTTCCCGGGGCCTGGCCCACAAAGACAGACTCCAAGTGGCAAAGTGGAATCATTACTTTTTCAAAGATTCTCTAGTTCTGAAATGAGGCTAAAGCATATGGAGTCATAACTTTCAGAACATTTTGACTAAAGTATGCATTGTAGACAGAATCAGAATTCTTGTCCACTTTAGCACATCATAGGCTACGATTTTGCTTAATATATTTCCTTTGTTTCAGAAATCTAGCAATGTCAAACAACTTCTTGTGCTTTATATTCTTGGTAATGGGGCTGGGCACTGTTTTTCACGGACACATCTGATCAAGGGAATTGCTTGGCAACAATGGTTGAATTTGCTATCTATTGTGACCCACGTAAGTTCCAAAAAGCAAATAAAACACTCAAGGGAAACAATCTTCCTTCTGCTGCTCTGCTGTGGACACGGGGAACATGAACTCAGAGGAACTAATACCAGGGGTTCTAGAGTACTCACCGCTGACAATCTGGCAGACCGTCTTGTGGGCTACAAAGGAAATGGAAAAAGACATGTTTTTGATGATTATGATGCCATTGTGATAACCTGGTTATTATTTAACAGGAAAGGAGGAAAGGGAAGACCGGATAGACGCATGCCCAGTAAGGTCTGAGTGACTGCACTTGCCTGTCAGTCACACCTGGAATCTAGTCAGTGGCCAGATGGGCGTGGCCACTGCCAGTGCAGAAAAACCTGAATATTCCAACCAAAGGAAGTTCACTCTCTTTCTCTCTGGTGCACAGGGTTCTGAGCTCTCCCGTGGCAGGAGATGATGCGCTCCCTCATGGCCATCTTGGACTACACAATCGACTGAACCTGGAGTTTAATTAGCTTGGATGCTGAACTACACCCAGTAGCAACATGGAACGAAAGCTCTGGACACTGGCCTTACTTTTGGCTTTGCTAAACTCCCAGCTGCACCTTTCCCAGGACTGGCTTAAGGGCAGGGGACTTTGGAACCCAAGAAAAGTAACTTCATGCAAATAAGGCCTTTCTCACATCCCATCCTCTCCTGGGGGCTTCTGAAAATGCATATTTCAGCAGTACCCCAAGAACCTCATTCCTATTCATGAGTGGGAAATCTGGCCTAGTAAATCCTCCTGCAACAATTACACACAACCAAGTTGATTTTAAAAAATTCTTTCTTGATGTCTTATATTTGTGGAAAGAATGTAATGTATGGCTCCCATCACCCTCTCCAGGTGAGTTCAATCACCCTGGGCACCCTAAAGCTCCAGAGGAAGTTTCTGAAGGGGTGTGGGCACGCTGTTCAAAGAAATGGCCTCTCCCATTTAATAATTTCACTAAGGGTGTGGTGACTAAGGAAAGAAAAGGAAGATGAGTTTAGGCTCCAAACCATAATCTCTACTTTTCATAATCTCTACTTTTGTGATAAAATTGACAGTGGGAACATTGAGGTGCTATTTAAGAAATAGCTTCCAGTGTGACTCTTGTTCCTTACAAATGGAACTAAAACTTTTAAGTTAATACAAGAGACTTACATAATTGTGTAGAAATCAAAATAATAGGACTCGGCCTTGTTATATGTTAGAAAAGAGAATGACAACAAGTCTTAGGCAGTTAAAGAGAAATGTTTCCTTTAAACCAGTGGTTCTCAACCTTCCTAATGCCGCAACCCTTTAATACAGTTCCTCATGTTGTGGTGACCCCCAACCATAAATTATTTTCGTTGCTACTTCATAACTGTAATTTTGCTACTGTTATGAATCGTAATGTAAATATCTGATATGCAGGATATATTTTCATTGTTACAAATTGAACATAATTAAAGCATAGTGATTAATCACATAAACAATATGTAATTATCTATGTTTTTTCCGATGGTCTTGGGTGACCCCTGTGAAAGGGTCGTTCGACCCCCAAAGGGGTTGAGACCCACAGGTTGAGAACTGCTGCTTTAAACTGAAACAAAACAAGCACATTTATGTCTTTACTAAATGTATATGTTTAAAGATTTAAATAGTTTCACTAATATTTTCCTTTAATTTGGAAGTTTATAGAATTTAGAGAGAGACCGTGCTGAGAATGATGTGTTTCAGGAAATCTTTTCTTCAGTGATGGTGCAAGTTAGCAAATGAGATGGCAAAGAAAATTTAAAATAACAGAACTCTTCCAGGCATTTCAGAAATAAGCACACAGAATTGATATTCCATTTACCACAAGCAAAAGATGGCTCCCCAAGGGATTTCACATTCTACAAGTACAACTGCCTTTCTTTATGTGTCCTAGAAGTAAACACTCCATGCTTTTTGTTTGTTTTATTCCCTGCTCTAACTCTAGTAGAATAAAACGCCACTTAACATATTGTAGATGCTTAATAACATTTGGTCAAAAAATGAACTCAAGCTTTTTCCTAATTCTTGCTGCCTTATGCAGACTTTGTCTCATTCCAATAGCTTAAATGTTTCAAATAATTCTTTAAGGAGTTAGCAAAAATGATCAGTAGCAGCCCGTGCCATAAGTGCAAAGAATCATGAAATTCTTGAAGCTGTGCTTAGCTCAGTCTAGGTCATCTGGTCAGGCCAAACTGGAAGAAATATTTCTTGCCATCTCTAGATCTAAGAAATCTCTTGCTGAAAATAGCCACAGGAAGCTAAACTCATCTTTCTTTAAATTACAGAAAAAAAATGAAGGACCAGAGCCTTCATGAATAGTTTTAACCCTGGGATCTCAAGGAAAGATCAGAACTGGACTTCAGGCGGCCAGCAGAATGTGCCGAGAGTAGGGGGCTGTGCAGGTTAAGTGGTGGCTGTGATGGATTCA